GTGGCCCATCAGCAGGGGAGGGTCCTCAAAGCTTTGCTCCATCCACATCATTAAAGTTGGCTCCCCTTAGGAGAGGCAGCTCTTCCCCAATCCTATTTTGATTGCCTTCCCACCCGAAGGGCTCATCTCCTGGCACTGTAGCAGACAATGTTCTGCTGTGACTAACAAGGGTTTTGGTGGGTAATCTGTCAGATGTGGGCCACCCATTTCTTCTTCCTAGCCTGTTCTTAGTTTGGAAGCTCTACTGAAACCTATTCACTCTGTTGGTCTTTGAAATACCAGGGACGTAGCTTCCAGCATCATAAACAACCAACATCAAGTTGATGCCAACTCATAGTGACCCTATAGGTAGAGTAGAACTGCCCCTGTGGGTTTCTGAGACTTTAACTCTTTACAGAGCGGACAGCCTCATCTTTCTCCCTCAGAGTAAGTAGTGGGTCCAAACCATTGACCTTGTGGTTCACAGCTCAAATAGCCTACTACATCACCAGAGCTCCTTCTAGCATTATGACTGCCTTTGAGATGATATCAACTCATAACAACCCTGTAAGGCAGGGGCCAACTGCCCTGTGACTGTTTACAGAAGTAGAATGCCCGTCTTTCTCCCCATCAGCATCATAGGAACATGTAAACCACCACAATGTGACAAACGGATGCACAGAGTGTGAATAAACAGCACAAACCCACTGCCATCTAGTTTGTTCTGACTCACAGGGCTTCCAAGACCCTAAATCTTTATGGGGCAGAGAGTCTCATCTTTCTCCCAAGGAGTGGTCTGTGAGTTTGCATCAGCTACTCTAGTAGCTTATCCCACAGGGCTACCAGGGCTCCTTTGGCATGAAATACGGGCTTCCTAAATGTTGGCCATAACTGGATTGAAGGAACTCAAGTGATGCCGTGTTTAAGCACTCAGCTGTTAGCAAAAATGTTGGCAGTTCAAACCCACTAGCTGATCCTCGAGAGAAAGATGTGGCAGACTGCTTTAATAAATTAAAGCCGTGGAAGCCGTGTGAGGCAGTTCTACTCTGTCCTATAGTATCACCATGAGTTGAAATGACTTGATGATCACAAAGTATGACTGGATTGGGGGCAGTGGTGATCCCACGGTAGAATTCTAACCTTTTGTCTGGGAAACCCAGGTTTGCGTCCTACCCAGTGGGTTTTTGTTTTTCAGTTTTTATTGTGAATTGGATGAAGGCTACAGAGTAGATCCATAATTACTACGTTGAGGAGCTCTGGTGGTATAGCGGTTACACGTTGGGCTGCTTCCACAAGGTCAGTCGTTCGAAACCACCAGTCACTCCTTTGGATAAAGACGAGGCTTTATACTCCCATAAAGAGTTACCCTCTTGGAAACTCACAGGGGCAGTTCTACCCTGCCCTATAGGTTTGCTATGAGTCGGCATCGACTTGATGGCAGTGATTCGGTTTTGGCTAGTTCATGCCAGTGATCACAATCCCTATATCACTTACCCCACTTTCTCCCTGTGTCTCTTGTTTCCGTTCTTCCTTCCTCACCCTGCTGAACTCTGTCTTTGGGTAACTGCTACCGTTTTGATCTCCAATGGTTGATTACTGAAAGGTGTGTGTGCAAGCGCTTCCTGCTTATCAGTGGAAGCTTGCAGATTGCTATGATCCTGAGTAGGTTTCAACAGAGCTTCCAGACTAAGGCTGATGATGAAGAAAGCCTGGGGATCTACTTCCAAAAATCAGTCAAGGAAATTTCAATCCGCATCCAGTCATCAGGATGATGTGGGATGGGCAGCATCTTGCTCCATTGTGCATGGGATCCACAAGCACTGACAGTGAACAACGCCAATGACATGAACGGGATTGTGTACTGATAGCTGGGTGAGCCCAACATCAGGGGGCAAACTACATCAACTGGAAGCAGGCAGGATTACTGTGGCCATTGTCCTCCTTGAAGAAATGTGTTGTGGTGGGACTCCTCAGAGGCGGCACAAGTTCAAGACCTAGGTTTTCTGCCCCAGCAAGCATCACAGTCATTCCCACTCCCCGCCCCCCATCATCATCATTCTTGTAACGACTTGTGCTTCCCGCCCCCACTTCCACCCCTCCCGAGAGGCCTGCCCCGCTGATATTAACCCTGAAGAACTCAACCTCACTTAGCTAATGAGATCTGGCCAGAAACCACAGAGACTAAAACCCTGAGCAGGTGGTGTCCTTGGATACCAACGACAGCTTACCCTACGGAAAAGATGAATGGGTCTGTGGAGGGCAGAGCACAGGGCATGCTACTGGTTGAATAGAAATAGGTGGCTGGCTCTTTTTCTTTTCCCTGGAAGGAATGATGACAAAGGTGACTGGGGTGATAGTAGCACTGAGTAGATTGAGGGAACAAGCAGCCATGCCAACGCACACAAACGGCCCATGCGTGAGAGACAGAAATCATCACTGCTCCGGCAGAAGCTCTAGCGCCTGCTTTCTCCATTCTGGCCAAACATCCCCCTCCGTTGCTTTCTCAGCCTGAACTGCAGCCATCTCTCTGGTTCCATAGACATAATGAGGATGAGGTTGTTGAGCATAGTAATCATAGCTCTAGTTTGAATGCTCCAGCTGCCAGGGTCTTTGCATATATTGTTTATACGCTTTATAACCACGCTGAGAGGTAGGCATGATCAGCTTCCCTTTTCAAGAAAACAGAGGCTCAGAGAGGTGAAGAGTCTTGCCCAAGTTTGCCCAGAAGATCAATAGTTGCCATTGGGATCAGACCTGATTGGCTCGGCTTTGAAGCCTGCGGTCTCTTCATGCTGTCTCTAACGTGGCTGCTGCCCTGCTTCGCTTGTCTGGGTTTCGGACCTTTGCCTGGAATCTTTGCTTCGGCAGTGGATGCTATTGTGCAGTGAGCCTCCTGAATGGCCTGGCGTTTCCAAGCCTTTCATCTTTGTGGAAACAGATGCCTCATCTGTCTCTCATGGTGGGTGCGATGCCCCAGTCTTTCGGTTAGCAGTCAAGCAGTTAGCCATTGTGCCACCAGGGGTCCTGCCCAGTTCAAAGCACACCCACTGCCCATAGGACACATCCTGACTGGATATCATGTCCCTTGACTACATGACCTCAATGACCTAGTTCCAAATCCTGTTCCAACCCATGGTTGTCCATTCTCTGTGGTTTTCTACTGGTCTCTTGCCTCTGTTCCCCTCTGTCAGGAATGCTTATTTTATCTGTACCATTTTTGCATCACCCAATGTTTCTAAATCCATCTTCTCCACCAAAATATCCCTAATCCCTCTAGCTGGAAGCTCTATTCTTTGGGTTGATCTCCTGTAGCACTGTGTAACTTGCTGCCGAGATCATTTACATTTCAATAGATACAAACATATACATACATGTGTCCCCCCTTGTAGACTATAAAATCCTTGAGCGTAGAACTCCCATCTAAAGAGTTTCTTCTGGCTGACTGAGAAGGTTCAGCGTGAGCACCATGAGGCCTGCAGATTGCTCATCACCAGCAGCTTAGAGGAAGGAGGAAGTGCCTGGTTTGGGCATTATTATTTCTGGGATGTCCTCATAAGAGGTGGAAATTTGTGACCACCATTAGAGCTGATCCAGGTAAGACAAACATAGAGCATCCCAGTTGCCGGAAGTGTCCTAAAGACCAAAGGAAATGACCAAGACTCAGGAATCACTGACATTCAATGATGTGGCTGTAAAGTTCACCTGGGAGGAATGGGTGCTCCTGAACCCTGCTCAGAAGACCCTATGTCAGGATGTGATGTTGGAGAACTATGGCAACCAGGTTTCCATTGAGATGGCATGGAGGAGAAGCTCCCCTTCCAGATTTTGTCGAGTGACCGATTGAAAGGCTCAACAGATGAATGGAACCTTTTCTTCCAAGATGGCTTTGTCTTAAGTCTGGCGTGTAGTCTTGTTTTCTTTTTCTTTAACAGTAGACTGTGTGCTCAGGAAAGTAGTCCTGTTTTGTTGGCAGCATCGATGCTACTTAATTATTTTAGACAGAAACTACTTGGGCCCCTCCCTTCTTACTTTGTCCTCTCTGTTCAACTCTCCCTTTTCCTGTTACTATTTTTCTCACTTCTAATGTTTGGCCCATTTCAGAAAGCAATATTAGCCACAAAGCGCTACACTCAGACTGCCCAGGGAGGAATTCTGGCTCTGAGCCCTATGTGTGAGTTTCTGGTCAATTCATTCATTTCTCTAAGTATTTTATTTTGTATTAGTAAACCATTCTGGAATTGAATATTCCTTTTCGCTCTTTTCTAATTGTCCCACCTTTTGCTTCCACATCTCACCTGCGAGTGACAGAGTACTAGGGAAAGGAGTCAGATTAGGGTACCCAGCCACTTCCTTGTGAGGGTTGGAATAGAACCATTTTACTTAGTCCCCCTCCTCTTTCCTTCAGCATGAAGGGGGCATTTAAAAAAATCATTTTATTGGGGGCTCATACAACTCATCACAATTCATCCATCCATCCATTGTGTCAAGCACATTTGTACATACATGTGTTGCCCTCAACATTCGCAAAACATTTGTTTTCTACTTGAGCCCTTGGTATCAGCTCCTCATTTTCCCCCCCCCTCCCATCTCCCCTCCCTCATGAGCCCTTGATAATTTATCCATTATTATGATTTTGCCGTGTCTTAAAGTGTCTGTGTGAATATGGCTAAGGCAAAGATGGAAATACGTATAGCCGATCACAAATGAGAGCAACGCATGTGCAGTAGACACGCAAGCAGGAGAATGAATTCTGATGAGGTCCAAATTACGGTTTCAAATTCCGAAGGGGGGACCCTACTTCATTTGACTTGATGACTGCAGACTCCTCCCCTCACCCTGACCAGCCATCTGAAAATATATCCGTTGGACACATTTACTAGGTAAATTTCCAGAGATTTTATTTTTAAATACAATTTTGATCCAGTAGATCTGGGGTGGTCCTGATCTTTTGCTTTTCTAACAGGTTCCCAAATGATACATAATATTTCTCCTCGAATCACTATGGGTTTTTTTTCCCCCTCTTATGTAGGAGAGACATACTGCTACTCAACCTCAACTGTAAGGTTGGTGGCCCTGGGAGCTCTTTTTTAATGTAGCGTATTATGGGTGTATTCCTGCTCCTACAGGAATGAGGAACAGATATTTCCATAGGCAAACGAGTCACTATGTTTTGGATTGTTCTTGCCGGCTGTCTCCTAGTGGCCCTTGTTCATGGAGACCCCTCCACGACGGAACTAAATGCTGACCACTCTTGAGCTGAGCCAAGCAGACGGTTGTCGTTCATAGGATTTTCAGTAGTCGCTAGCCAGGCCTTGTTTCCTAGTCTGTTTTATTTTGGAATCTCCATTGAAATCTGTTCACCATCCTATAGACAGATGGGTGGTGGCTGCCTCTGAGGTACGCATATGGCCAAGAATCGTACACAACCTCTTACAAGGAAGGTAGGAACTCAACCAGTAAAGCATCAGGGACCGCCATACTTTGAATAACCAAATTCACTGCCATTGAGTGGATTCCAACTCACAGCAACCGTATAGGACAGAGCAGAACCACCCCTGTAGGTGTCCAAGGCTGTACATCTCTACGGGAATAGACAGACTCGCCTTTCTTCCACAGAGCAGTCGGTGATTTCCAATCGCTGACCCTGTGACCAGCAGCCCACCTTGGAACCTTCTGTGCCACCAGGGCTCCTTACTTTGAATAACAGGCTCTGAAAATAGATTAAGAACTTTTTGAAAACAAGGGCTATACCTTATTCACTGCAATGCCTTCAGTGTCTAACATATAAAGGCTAAGCAATGCTTAGTGTGTGAATGACTGAATGGTCATCACCCCATGTGCTATGCATGCACCTTAACCGCATGTTGTTGCTCAGTGCTGTTGAGAAGATTCTGACTCAGAGCACCCTGCAAACGACTGACCAGAACACGGCCTGGTCCGGCTGTCCTGGCTCTTGTTTACTGTTTGAGCTCATCGTTGCAGGCGCTGTGCCAATCAACTGCTTGAGTCAATCAACTGCTTGAGGTAGTTCTCTTTCAAGATGACCCTCTACTTTAACCAGCATCCTAACCTTCCTCTACGACTGGTCCCTCCTGATAACACGTCTAAAATATGTGGCACAAAGTCTCACCATCTTGCTTCGAAGGAGGCTTTTGGCTGTACTTCTTTTAGAACAAAGACAGCTTTCTTTGTTCTTCTGGCAGTGCAGGGCACTTTCAATGTTTCCCACCAATTCTGTCGTTCAAATGCATCGATCCTTTAACTTTCACATGTATATGAGGTGACTGAAACTATCGTGGATCGGGTCAAGCACACCTTAGTGTGTGACATCCTTACTCTTTTCACACTTTAAAGCAGGCTTGTACAGCAGATTTGTCCAATGAAATACAAAAGTTTATGTCTTGAGTGTTTCTTTCATGAACATTGACTGCAGATCTGAGTAAAATGAAATCCTTGAAAACGTCAGTCTTTCCTCTGTTTATGATGATGTTGCCTATGGTCCAGTTGTAAGAGTTTTTGTTCACACTGAATTGCAATCTCTACTGAAGGCTGTAGCCTGATTTTCACTAGCAAGTGCTTTAAATCCTCCTTGCTTCCAACGAGGAAGGTTGTCGCATGTGCATATTGAAGGTTGTTAATGAGCCTTCCTCCAATCCTGAGGCTCCGTTCTCCTTCATCTAATCCAGTCTCATTATTTGCTCAGCAAACAGACTGAATAAATAGTGTGGAAGGATACAACCCTGATGGCCACCTTTCACGATTTCAAATCCCCTTGTTGAAATGACTGCATCTTGATCCACTTATTGGTCACAATGTCATGCATCGATGCTTATGACTCATACAGTTGAATGCCATTGTCTAGTCAGTAAAACAGAAATAAACATCTTTCTGATATTCTCTGCTTTCAGCCAAGATCCATCTAACGTCAGTAATGATACCCCTTGTTCCACACCCTCTTCTAAATCTGGCTTGAATTTCCAGCAGCTTGAATTTCTGCTGCAGCTGTTTTTGGATGCTCTCCAACAATAGTTTACTTGTATGGGATATTAGAGCTATTCAGTGAACCCTCGCCACTTCGCGCTTCGACTTCCGCGGCTTCATTCTATCACGGTTTTTGCATAACAGCGCATGCTCTGTCATTACTGCCACTTATTGGCTCATACTGTACATGCTTGATGCCATAAATAATATAATAAATATTAAATGATAATTGTAACGTCCAAAATGTTTTACTGTATTTTCCCTTTTTCGTTTAATAAATTGGGTAATACGAGTGTAATGGTGACTAAAGGGTGTTTTTTCATGTCCTCTATGCTCTAACTACGAAAATATTTGATTTACAAATAAGGAATCCTACTTCGCGGAATTTCATTTATCATGGTAGGGTCTAGAACCGATTAACCGTGATAAACGAGGGTTCACTGTTGTCCTATAGTTTCCGCATTCTGTTGGGTCACCTTTCTTTGGAATGGGCACAAATACAGTTCCCTCCCCTTCAGTTTACCAGGTAACTGTCTTTGGAATGTCTTGGCATAGACTGGTGAGTGCTCCCAGCAGGGCACCCACTTGCTGCAGTATTTCAGTGGACATTGGGTCAGTTCCTGGAGCCTTCTTTTTGGCTCAAAAAACAAAACCAAAACCAACTCGCTCCCATTGCTTCTGACTCATAGTGACCCTATAAGACAAAGCAGAACTGCCCCTGTGAGTTTCAGAGGCTTTAACTTGTTATGGGAGCAGAGCATTTAGCTTCAGTCCGGCCACAGAGGGCCTAGGGTGCTGGTGGGACAACTCTAGGTCCTAGGTATGCAGAGGGATGTGCGGGGAAGGGGCCGACCCAAAGCAACACCTGTCCATCGCCATCCTTGCCAACCCTCTTGGCCTCTGAGTGAGTTGGTGGGGAAGATGTGAGGGGGGAGGGAGGTCACTGCACCGCTCACACCCTGAGTGTCCTGCCGGGGTGCTGTGAGCAAAAGGGAAGAGGCGGGAGACAGGGTGTGGGGAGGGATGGGACAATGGTGTCGGAGATGGGGTAGTGCCTCCCCTCCTGACTCTCACATAGCACCAATTTGGCATAAAAACCCTCATCTTTAGAACTTAACTCTGTTGAAAAGTGATAATTGTATATATGTATAATTATATGTATATATAATTTCAAATTATTCACGTGTATAATTCTGTAGCATTATGTTTATTATGGTCAAGAATTACCATCATCTAGGTACAACATTTTCCGTGACCTTAAGTGTTCCCATTTCATACTTTTTACACCCCTGACCCCTACCCTTGGGAACCAACCCGGAACATTTGATTAAAAGAGCCTGTGTTAGCCGAACAGGTACAACAGCTACAAACAAAGCCTGGCCTTCTGCATTTGTCCTTGGAGTTCACCTTCCTTTCTGCGTAGGAGACAGGGAGTAAGCCGAATGCCACCTAGAGATGTCTTATTCATTTCTTTTCCTCATAGTAAAATAGTTCATAATATTTTCCCTGATTGAACTCTTGCATTTCTCTGTCAAGCCGGTTGGAGTCTTTAAGGAAAAGGCTGGCCTGGGAGGATATGGGTACGCTATCAGAGGAGTAGAGTCTCTGAGGGGTGCACATCCTTAAGGAGCTCGGCTGCTGAGTCAAAGTGTACCAGGGGTGCCTCCGAAGAAAGACCTGGTGACCTACTTCCAAAACAGCTGCCCAGGAAAACCCTACAGAGTAAGAATTGACTCAACAGCAGCTACCTCTTAAGCATTCATTTATGAGCAAAGTCCCTGACATGATGGTGAATGAGCTGGTTTCATCAGCTGCACAGCCCCCGGCTTCTAGGTAGTGAGTGATGCGGTGGACCAGAATCCAAGAACACCGGACAAGATCCGCCTCTTGTTTCTCTTTTAGAATGCAAACTTTCTCTGAAAGGCTTTGATGGGTCACGGTGTCACCATTCAATATAGAGTCCAGCTCTTGAAATCATTTGCATTTGGCTTAAGGGGGGGTTCTAATCACAGAAGATTCCTGGATCATTAGTCAAGTCTATTGTGTCTGAGCTGCTCGGTTTGATTTCACCTGGCCAGGTCAACCACAAGTACCTGCACCTGCTCTTCCTCAAAAAACAAAACAAGAAAGGAGTTCTATATGCAGCCCTAGGCTCCCAAACTTGACTGGTCACTGAATGACCTGGAGAGCTGGTGAGACTATGTACCCTTGTATCCTCCCTCCTAGAGAGTCTGGTTCATTCGGTTGTGAATGGCTATTATAGGACTATAATAACCAGAATGGGAAAAATGACTGGTTGAAGTTCTGGCTAGGAGGCTCAGAAAAGGCCGAGCAGGCCCTTTCAGGAGCTTGAGGCAGGAGCCTGATGCAGGAGACTGGATTACTGCCAGGACTGTGGTGTAGCGGTTCCTCATTAGACAGTGACCCACACAGATGGCAGTCGGAACCCACCAGCAGCTCCTTGGGAGACAGCCTGAGCTTTCAACTCCTATAAGCAGTCACAGTGCTGGAAACCCAGCCGGGGTCACTGTGAGTCAGCATCGAGGGCAGCGAGGTTGGTTTGGGTGGACTATAATACACGTTCAGAGCACTGGGGTTGGCCACTATTGTTTCAGCCAAGCCCCCTCATTGTTTTCATTTCTGCTGACCAAGAGATTTGGGTGCTATACAACATGCGGGCTGCCCTGGTTTTCTAAGAGAGGTTCAGTTGGTAGCAGGGTGTCAAGCTGTCATCATTCTGGTATACCCACAGTTCACACATTCGGCTCCACTCCTCTGTCACTTCATTGGCCGTGACTGAACAGGAAAGAACAGGTTCAAAGCGCTGCATCCAATACACATCAGCTTTCTTTCCACCTCTCTCTGCCTCTCAGCTCTTGCCAAGAAGAAACAGGACCCACTTGGGGATGTCGAGCTATGCTTTTTGCTGGTTCTAGGTGCACGAGGCATGAACCTGCATGGGCACAGGAACCAAGTGTTGCACTAAATTGGTACTAACTGCCACCGTGACTGCCGTGGTGAAAAGAGAGCGGGCAAAATTGCTGGTTATTTCATCTGGGAAGACAAACCAAAGCTTCTCTTTTCCTGCATCCCTACCTGTATCCCTGCCACCAAGTGTCCTCCCTACTCAGCTACATGACCCGGGGAGGTGGCGGGTTGCAGATGCAGCCAGAG